ACAAATCAGTAGCAAAAATGGGTAATTAGGGCTTGAGATTAAGAGACCTTTGAGTGGGGATTTGAGGTTCTATTTTGATGTTCTTGATATGTATAGACTCGTGTGAGGATGAGGATTCCATTGATGTTAATTTTATCGGATTTCGGCACGTGGGCCCAGGGGCCGAGTTTGAGAATTTTTGGGATTTTGATGTAAAATTGGATATTTTTGAGTGGGCTTCGTTCCCTTTGCATATTTTAATGATTATATATTGATTGTGGCTAGATTTGGAGCATCCGGAGGTTGATTCGTGCGGGCAAGGCATCGCGGGCTAGAGTTTGGATCGGATCGAGGTGAGTAATGATTGTAAATGATGTTCTGAGGGTTTTAAACCCCGGATTGCACATCGTAGTGCTATATTGAAGTGAGACACACACTTGAAGACGAGCGTGGGGTCATGCACTATTGGGGATTGTGACTTGGTCTGTCCCGATTGATGATTTTACCGCGTATTTGACTGAAATCTATTTGCTATCATTATTATTTGGGCTGAATATCATATTTGGGCTTCGTGCCAACTAGTTGAACCCTTCGGGGATTTTTGTTGATGTTTCCTCACTGTTTTTGATTTTATGCTTGAACTCAATCATGCTATATTCTACTGTTTTCAAAACTCAGCCATGTTTACTCTGCTTTAAACTTAAAATGATATTTTAAATCATATTTTGGGCTGAGCATCATGTTTTACTGTTGCCCAAGTGGCTTATGTGAATTTTTACTGAGTAAGGCCAAGGGCCTGTGTTGTGAGGATACTTTTGGGTCGGGCTGCACGCTGCAGCGGTGATACACTGATTTGGTTATGAGGCTGAGGGCTTGAGATATGTACGCCACAAGGTGGTTTGTTGATATTAATATGAGGCCGAGAGCCTGTTTATGATGCCACGGGTGGCTTGATATTGCACTTGGGCCGTAAGGGGCCCCTCCAGGAGTCTGCACACCCCCAGTGAGCGCTGGTATCCGTTGTGATGTGAGATATAGCCCGAGGGGCTGGTATTGTTCTATGTGATTGCCCGAGGGGCTGGTATTATTCTGAGATATTGCCCGAGGGGCGAATTTGTTAATATTGTGCCCGAGGGGCGAATTTGTTGATATTGTACCCGAGGGGCGAACCTTATGTGCTTATCTTTCTTATTTGCCTGTCATGTACCTGTTTAATTGTGTATTTTTGCTCGAGGAGCGGATTTCTATGCTTATCTGCACTAATTATTTTGCATTCATTTGTGCAACTGTTGAAAAAGTCATTTTCGAAGAAGTTTAAACTGAGCTAAGATATTTTAAGAGATTTTACAGCTTCATTGCTTTCTTACTGGTTTTTGAACTGCTTTTATACAGCATGTTGATGCACTTTTCGTGATTTCTTACCATTCAGACTTTAGTTATGATTATTACTCACTGAGTTGGAGTATTCATTTTACTCCCTGCATCTTGTGTGCAGATTCGGGTATTTCTGAACCCGGTAGCGGGTATTGGTTGATCGGAGGCAGAGTCATCGGAGTTTAGCAAGGTAGCTGCCGGCGTTCGCAGCACTGCTTTTCTCTCTCTGAACATCCTTGGACTGTATTTAGCCTATTTCAGAACTTAGTTGTATTTTTGACCTTAGTAGATGCTCGTGACTTGTGACACCCCGATGTCGGGCTGTGTTTATTTCCGCAGTGTTCATTTAAACTCACATTAAGCAATATCTGATTAATTTAAAAGGCATTAAATTGACTTATTAACATTATTGAAGTGAATTTGGGAATTGTGTCGGATGGCTTTGTCTTCACGAGAGGCGCCATCACGACCGAGTCCGGTTGGGGGTCGTGACATGTACATAATATCATCAAGCCACTGATGGCATCCCATCGTATCATCTCGGCCACTGTGGGCAACATCATCAGCATATACTAGCTGATCAGGTGGTGGTGTGTATATAACGTCGTAGCATTTTCCTATATCCCATATACATATATTTACATATATACGCGTATATAACACCATCTGGTCATGAGTCAATGCACATGCATAAATGAGTGAAATGTATGAAAAATACGTAATAATCTCAATATTCCTTCCGGATAAACTTTTTCAACCGTGTATTATTTTGAGACCCATGAACAGAAGATAATAATATTTTTCATGGGGAATCAAGAATATAGACACCCCTAGTATCTCTATGAATAGAATAATTTATGAAAATTGTGCGTTTGCTCGTTTCTTTAGTATAAATCGGAACATGCCATACGAAAGAAGGGATGACTTTAACATACCTTTTTCTTGAATTATTTGAACGAATCTGCTTCTGCGAAATATAGATGAAATTCTGCTTGAATCTCTTAAAATTTTGAAACGAAATTTGGTTGCTCTTTGAAATTCCAATCGAAATGTTGGCTAAAGATTTTGGACGAAATGACTCTGCTTCTAACGTCTTTGGTTTGAAACCAAAGACAAAATGTGCTTTCATCTAATGAATTGCTTACTAAGTTTCCTAGATAATGATCACAAGTCTTATTTGGTAAGACTTAAATTTAAGTCATGTCTTGGTTGTATTCTTAAGGAGCCATTTGGCAAAAGTGACTACTTAGTCATTTTCAATTTTGTGGCTTCTTGCCACGTTTGAGGGGTTATTTTATTAATTATTTATCCACTTATTAGTTAACTGGGTAATGTCTTGTTACCCGGTAATTAATCAATTACCCGCATAATTTAAAAATTACCACAAATTACTTAAAATTCTATTTATTTTTAAAATACTTCATATATACTTTATATATTATACTAACGTGGTCATATGGTACCTTGCATGATACTAGTTTATAATTATCGAGTATTATCGCTCGACCCGTATTTTATTCCAAATTGGTCACTTTCAACGAAACTCATTTTCTTTAATTTATGTACCGATTTATCCTTCATAACACTTATTTATCGCTTGTTATAAATAGCGTAAGTACGTTAACGTCAAGATGATCTCATCCCCGAGTCTACGTCGGTTAACTGGAAACGAAATTTTAACATACGAAAAACGCGAAATGTAACATAAAGGGAATAATAAATTGTCAGGCCAATTAAGGGGAGTGACCCCTGACTCAATAACAGCTTAATGAAATGTTTGCCTTCGATCCCGGGCTCACACCAATGAAGAACCGATGAATAAAAGTAAGAACTTTGAATAACAGAGAAAATAAGAGTATATTGCCTTGATATGCATGTTACCATGTGTATATCAATAATAATCTTTCCCCTTTATAGGGGGAGTTTTACTCTAAGTACAATTCTCAAAAAGATAAAAATCTTCCGTTATGCCGATCATTGATACGAGCCGAGATTCGCGTCGTGATATCCAGTTGGGTACGGATATCACGGCCTTTGTTAGCCGTGTGCAGCTGCTTTGCGATGTTCTCTGAAATCTCAACCCTTAAATCGGACCCCAAGGATATGACCCCGATATCCCCGAGAGCAGATGTTTGCCCGATCCCTGATACGAGGGGCTCTTCGTTCTGACTCCAATATGTTGCGGTCATCTTACCACTCTGCTTGGCTCACCGGGAACGGACTCGGTTTTACCCGTATATATATCAATCTTACCACTAATTAACAGTGAGCATTCATTACTTTAAAAAATACTATATCCGCATAAAGTTATGTCTATTCAAGTGCTAAGAATGTATGCACATTAGTATATGTTTATTTGTCGAATCTATTGAAGTTCCTCATCAAATATTTTTATTTTATCATTTCAGACGAGTGATTCGGATGATGAAACTACTTCACATATGGATATACGAGGATTGATCATGGCGGCAGCAGCATGAATAACCAATCAAATACGTACTTTTTAAATATTTATTTATTGTATGGAACCACTTTAGATTAATTTGGTAATGTTTGAGTTATTGTACACGATTTTTAACTTTAATTTGATATGTGTATGAATTTGTGATGTTTTACCATAGATATTTTTTATGGAATTTGATCTATGTTATGAGTTATTCAGTACAAAAAAAAAAAAGAATTGTGGCGAAACAAATTGCCAATAATTTATTTTTTTAAGATTAAGATTATTTGTGGAGGTTATATATGAACCCCACAAGTAATTTCTTTTTTAAAGATTGACATCATATTGTTTGCGTTACAAACTCCAGCTAATTGTTTTTAAAACTGCTACAAATTTAAAAATTACTTTATGGCGTGGTTTTTTAAAAAATACCACAAAAAAGCTCGTGGCAAACATAATTGTGGCACTTTAAAAAACAGCCACAATTTATTTTGTGGGGGCCAAAAACTGTCACAAATTGCAAAATAGCCGCTACAAAACTAGCATTATCTTTACAACCATGCGAGAAGCACCTATACCGAATAATACTATACCGGAATAGATCATTCGGCTAATCACCAACATCCGAGTAGACAACTCCCACAAACCAACGAACTTTGAGATATCTGGGATTTTATATTAACTCCTAAGCAGTAATAGAGCCATCAAGCATAATGTACGGGATATGCCAGTAATGCCTGTAACGGGTAGGCGTAAATTGTCCTGTAAATACTTCATTTCCCCATATTGTAGCCCATTATGATTCAATCCCTCACACGATTATTATACGAAAGTATGATCTCTTAGTTAGCAGCGTTGTTCAACTGCTCTTTAACTTTCTCTTTGTCGTTATTTTGCTGCTTTTATCTATGTTATTTACATCATTCTCTTATTTTTCCCAAGCAAAGATTCATTATTTTCGACTAATATTGTTACTCATGGCCTTGTTCTATAAATTTAAGTGATTAATTTAATAATTAAATTTTGGGTTAAACAGCTTCCAAAATAGATAATGAGGGGATAAGCCCAATTACAATGTCTACTGCAAATTGCAGTAGTTATGCCCATAGAACCAGTAAGTAATGCTATATTAATTACCAAAAATAAATGCTACATTAAAAAGAAATAAAAATAAAACAAGATTGCATCCCCAACCCGATGGTTCAACTATTAAAATCCGGACCCGATCCATATGCTCCCCTTCACAGGACTCAGCAATGCAAAATCACCGCGCATGAAATAACTTGATTAGTATTTTCCTAAGCATTATTGCGTTATATCAGTCAACATTTGCAAATTGCGATTGGTGATAAATGATTATCCAAGAAATGAAGAAAGCAATAGGTGCCTACCGCGAAGTGCTGAGGCTGGTGAGGCGACTTCCAAAGGACACCAGGCCTTACTACGCAAAATACGCCCGAGAAAATTTCGTCAATTACAGAGAAATCGACTCGAATGATCCAAATGCTCTTCAGGAACTCCTTCAACGAGCGTACAACCATTCCATCTGGGTCCTTAATAAGGTAAACACTAAACACTAAAATACAGTGACATGTATTATAGCTATTGTAGAAGTCATTACTGCCCCTTTTACATTTATTTAGCATTTGGTTTATTGGATTGAGTATTTATCGATAGGCCCACTTGCAATTTCCTTTTGTTTTGCAGTATTCTGTAGACCAATCTGCAGCGGATCGCCTAAAGATTATATGCTCCGCTTGATGGTTCGTCTTGTCTGCCAACTGTTTGTTACTATTTCCCAAAGAGCTTTGTTCTTTTGTTGCTCTTTCTTTCTTGCTTGTACTTTAAATTGGATATTCTGCATTAGACGCTTGATATACAGTTTCTGATACTTCATATAATAACTTTTGAGAATTAATAAGCTTTGCTAATTGTTACTGTTTAAAGTAAAATTCACTGAGAAATAAATTTAAATTTAAGTTAGTTTTACAAGGTCCCAAGTCCAATATCCATCGATGATATAGAGTAAATAAGGTCAAGTCAAAGTTTCACATGTGATGGACAAGTATTTTGATAGAAATTGGGTGGACAGACACTTGTAGATGCATTTCTTCTTTTGTACATATGTGGAATTTTAGAAACCCAACACATTACTGATATTAAGGTGCATCGTCATGATAGTCAGGTTGTTGTGATAGTTAGATACCTTATTATTGTCACTTTCACATTACAAACTATACATCATGACCAGTGTATAGTGTCCAGTTTTTCATGGAGTGTCGCTTAGAGTCTGACAGCCTGTTGCTTCTATGGTGTTGAACTAAACTATTATAGAAGTATGGTGATGTATGTGGGGTAGCTTCAGAGGTTCGCTATGGTGACATATTGGTGGAGATAATTCAGTTGTCTACTCAGTTTGAGTCCAGTTAGTAGTACTTAAAAGTTAGCTCGGTAAGAGATTGAGTAATAAAATGTGAAGCTGACTCTAGAAATAATTAATCACCTTAAGTTTGGTGTTAATCAATATTTTTGGGGCAGTGCTGAATCATGAATTTCTTTGGGTTTGGGGTTTGGAGGTGGTTCTCACAAGTCACAACAAAGTTTTCGCATGGATCTCACTAGAGGAGAATGTGTGTAGGATCATAAGTTTCCATCTAAGTTCCATGTTACGGATCACCATTTTATGCTTGTTTTAATGTATACTTAGAAATAACTATGGATTTGTTCTTTGCTCTCCCCAAGTTTCTCTGTTGCCCTTTGTGGGTTGCGTTGTGGTATCTAACAACAAAGTTGAAGCTTCTATTAGTATTGGTATAAGTTCTATGTTGGGCAATTAAATGCCAAAATTATTCTGCTTTATTTGGGGCTTAATTTTGTGAGTTCTTGTTTTATTGGAATTCTTTGGTAATATAACTTCAAACTGCAGATTTTCAACATATCTTATCATTCCTAGGTCTGGTTGTCTGTAGCACTACAGAGGTGTAAAGTGGCAGATCAATATCACATTAAGTTTTTCTTTTGAGAGCTATTCATTAGCTGGTTGAATTAATCTTTGAAACTGTAGTTTCTTCTGAATGACATCTCAAACAACGTGCCCGAATTATCTTCAGGTTCATGAAATAGTAAAAATCTTGCTCAACCAAAAATGCTTATAAGCTCAAAAGTCATAAGTCAACTTATGACTTTTGACTGATTTCGGTGCTTATAAGCATTTTGGATGTTTACGCTTATAAGCCAATTAAACCAGCTTATAAGCTTAGCCAAACACCCTCTATATTAGGCACATCCAGTCCAAGACCAATGTGCTTTTACAAGAAGGAAATGTCCTCATTTTTTTTTTTCTTTTCTCACTTCTTAATAGATGCTTTTTTGAAAATCAAACTAGTTTGTGAACTGTGTTGGTCCTGTTCCTGCAGAAAATTCTGCAGCATTTGTCATAATTAAGGTTGGTTGGGGATGGTAGTTGTAACTGGGGAAGGAACAAACTTTTATTTGCTAGTTTTTCGTAAGTCACTTATCAATTATGCTGATTAAAATAGTGCATACTACTTCAAAGTTCACTTGTCAACGTGCAACAATGCAATTGGTTTATTAGGCTCAATCCATGTCCTTTTCAATTCTATGCACCTGGATTTCTACTTAAACGATGATACCATTTGTTTAGTAGTCTCCTGTTAAGTCCTGTCAACAACTTTAATTTGGAAGACTTTGGTTAATTTTTGCAACCCCACCTCCCCGCATTCACGCAACACCCTCATACGAAGATGTATTTTATTAAAGATGTCATGTTCTTTAATGAAGGAATAGATGAGGTGTGAATAACATAGGAAATGGAAAAGCATTTCTAGCTGATATAGTGTGGCTTACAAGCTACTGGTTCGATTACGAAAGCTTTGTGATTTTGTGTGTGTATCATTAGTGTTTGTTCAGCAGTCAGACCAGTATGATTGAGAGGTTTTTCGTGATTTATAGAAGGGAGGGTCGTGCATATGGCTGTATATGTATTAATTAGTCCTTGCAATCCGCAACGTGCTTATCAAGATCTAAGCTTCTTCACTGTTAGAGCGACCCAAAAAACTCCATGATTGCATGAGGGCTAACAATCATAGGAATCAATCACTGCAGAGTGGTTAGAAATCATGCTAAATATAGTTAAAATATATCTCACCACGTATGTTTTTGGATATAAAGATCACTAGGAATCTCACTCAACCGTTTTGACACGTTCAGTGCGATTTTTGCTTCAAATATTATTATGATTCTTGATTCAAAATGAAATAAACTGTTCCATAGCTCAAATAGCTTCAATAGGAACGGCTAGCAATTAAGATCGAAGGACGTGTATTAAGATCACAGAGAAAGTATTCCCTGATTGATATTTTTGGATCCTTATTGCTGTTGGATGGCCTTTAGTTGTCTGCGAATCTATTGCGGCGTTTAAAGCATGAGTATCGAATAAATATATTATAATCTTGCTAATTTACACACACTAATGGATCAGTTACTCGGGTTTTCGACCAGCAGAAGCTGAATCAAAATAAGAGATACGGGAGAAGATTGACCAAAGACGTACGTGATGTCGTAGTCGCAAAATTCATAGTCCAAAGAAGCTAAGATGTCTGGCTTTGGTTTTCTCGTCTTCTTTCATAAGTATTATATTAAGTCCTTTGCTTTGTGTTACTATATGTCTGCAGTCTCCGTAATTCGTACGTTTTCTCACTATATTGAAGCCTTTCTTGCACTTGTCAACCATGGACTAAGATTTGCCTCGTTTTTTGTGAAAATCTTATTCGTTGTGCAAAAATCACCGTACTGAACCTAGTGAAAAATGATTTTAATATTTTTCATTTATGTTAATCTTTGTCAGAGTGTAGTCTCAATTGAATAAAAGATTTAATAATGTTATCAAAAGAATATGAACCAAATTCATAAACACTCTCTAGAATCTTACACAAAATAGAGTATAAGATTCAAGTTGGTGCTTGGACATGTCAGTCAAGTGTTTAATGAAATTAAAAAAAAAAGGAAAAAACAAAATGAACCGACAAAAANTATAAAATATAATATAAGAACTGACTTCAACCTACAACACACCCTAGTATCCTACCTGTAACACTGAAAGGTTGTTTGGTTACTAGGATAAGGGTATTAATTTTAATATAAAATATGGGATTATATTTATTTCATATTTGATTATGATATTAGCTCCCCAGGATTAAATTTGAGATTATATTAGATTTATTGTTGTTATTGTTGATTGTGATATATGAGCTAATATTGATATAAATTTGATATTCCATATTATAATCTCTGAATTATAATTCTGGGATAATATTGTTCCAAATCATACGACCCTTGATTAGTGACTATTGATGAGTGCAAAGATCGACTATTGATGATCAAACAAAAATGTGTTTTGTTCTATTCCCCAAACAAAACATTGGAGTGTGGACTTATATATAGAGGAACCAAAGGCGGTAGCACGGTTTTCTTGGGTAATGGTTGGTAGTTCGGTCTTCGGAAGTTTGACTGAGACTGAACAGGACTAAAGACGATACTACCGAAGTTCCCTTAGATTTTGCAACGGCCGTAACGCCCCCACCCCTTCTCCCTTCTCTTTTTAACTCTTTTACACCAATTTAGTGACCAAATACGACAGACACGTCCTTGTTTTGAAAATTCATATAATTACTACTACAAGCTATTATTACTCCCTTTGTACTACGTGGGACTCCTTTGTTCCCCGTCATTATTTTATACTATTGAATTAAACTCACATACGGTAGATCATACAAAGAAATTTTACAATATTAGTACTTCTTCCGGTATATTAAAAAGTGACTTTTTAGTCTTTGACACACCCTTAAAAAAATACGAATTTCTAGAGAGAAAATATATTTACTAAACTACCCTTAATTAATTGTTACCTTGACACGTTGAGATATGTAAATAAGGGTTAATTTTGGACAAATAAAATTAATTCCTTCTTGACTATGTAAAAGGATATTTATTTCAGATCAAAATAAAAATGCTAAAAGAGACGGAAGGGAGTATAATTTAACATGCTATAAACATATTATTTGTTTATTTTGAGTTAAAGTTCTATACAACAAAGATGTAAAAAAATAATCAGATTATTTATCAGGTCATTACAGGTAAATAAAATCTCTTCGTTTATCATGAACAATTATTTTTAATTATCTTTTACGTAATCTAAGAATGTAAAAATTTGTTATTCTATCGGTTCATAGATGTTAAATACTTTTAAGTTTATAGTTCGATTAAATTATTTTAGAAAATGTAAAAATGGAGTGGGGGAAAACGGTCCCATATAAGAAGCCAAATAGTCCTAGTAAGAAGAGAAGAAGACACTGCTTATATATCTTTGTCCCTGCCGTGTTTAACTTTAAAAGAAGCTTCCGTCGTTTACTCCCATAAACAAACCCACAAACTCCTTTTTCCATGAGTCAAAAAATATAAAGAAAGAAATTAATCTCTACTACTATTGCTTTAATTAACAATGGCGGATGATCAAGAAGGGTATAAGGAAGAGACACTAAACGGAGAGAGCTATTCAGAACTACTATTTGCCGATGATGATAACACACTAGGAGGATGTTTTAACTTCACTTCATCTTCCCCAAAAATGCTCTGTTTTGGTGATTACACCAAAATGTGTGCTGATAATCCTTTTGTTGAAAGTTGTTCTATAAATTCACCAGCAAAAATCCAGATATCTGGAGTCACATGCAGTATTGGAGATTCACCCGCCTCAGCTTGTTCAAGTAGCAACAGCAAGAACTACAAGTCCGATGTATGTAGAAATACTAATTTTGCTTGTTCTGAAATTCTTATTTTATCTTTTAAGGAGATAATTTATAATCACACAAATGTTTAAGGGCTTGCGATTTTCTGTGTTGATTTGGGTTTTGGGTTTCTGTATCTTTTTGTACTTTGTGCAGAAAAAGCGAAATGGAGCAGAGAAAGAATCGGCTGAAAAAACAAAAGCAGTTCCTGCTGGAAATCAGAGAAATTGCAAGAGGACAAAGGCAGAAAATTCAAATGTGACAGGCCATGCAAAGGTCAGAAAAAATGAAAAACAAACAAATGATCATTTGCATGATAAATGAAGAAGCATTATCTTCTTTTTTGGGTCAACTTTTAAGGTTATGAACAATAAAAATGCAGGTTAAGAAAGAGAAGCTTGGTGAAAGAATCACAGCTTTACAACAGCTTGTATCTCCCTTTGGCAAGGTTCATTTTTTTTCCTCCGGTTTTCCTATATTGTAGTCGAAAGGGAGCTTGGCATAACTGGTAAATTGCGCCGTGTGACTAGGAGGAGGTCACGAGTTCAAAGCCGTAGAAACAGCATTTTGCAAAAATCTACGGCCTTTTGCAGAAATGCATATTAAAGCTGCGTACAATAGACCCTTGTGGTCCGGCCTTTACTGAACCCGCGCATAACGGAAGCTTAGTGCAATTGGTACTAGTCAATTCTTGCAATTTAAAATATACACTATGGAGATATTTAACATGTTGTCCAAAGTAAATATTGCACTGTCAAAATATATAAGATAAACTGATCTTTATTAATGTGACATTAAAATGGATATTGATTAACTACAGACAGACACAGCATCAGTGCTACATGAAGCGATGGGATATATCAGGTTTTTGCACGATCAGGTTCAAGTCTTGTGTTCTCCTTATTTGCAGCGCCTGTCTCCTTCATTACGTGTAAGTACTTTTATTTTGACCCATTTTTTCTCCTAAAGTGTTTTCACTAAAAAGTGCTCTCTTTTACTCCTATTTAGTACGTACAACAACTTTGTCCCTATTTATGGGCCTCCCCTGTCCTTACCTTAACACCTTGCTCACAGTAAATATTGACAAAAAGGTAAAAGAAAACTAAGAATTACTATCAAAAGCTCGGTGTGTTTAGGTAAAATTTACTGCTGCTAAACTCTTAGCACTTAGCAGCATTTTTTCCCCTTCACAGTAGCATCTTATCCAATGTTGAGGTTGAATAATTAGAATACTCTTAATTTTAGGTTCTTAACGGATGATTATATATTTATGAGAAATCTTTAATAAATAGTAAAAGTATATGACAATGAGGTCATTAATTAACTTCTTATAGATTTTAATTACTACTATTAAAATGAAGTGTTTGGCTTGTAATATGTAGATGATTGATCATGATGCGTCTTAATATGCATTGGGCTTAACTTATAATACATGGAGTATATTTTAACCTTGTTATAACATATAAAATGTCTTACTTTCAAACTACTAGTCTCACTTTTGATAGACGGTTGATTAATTATAATTATCTTTTAGATAAATTGATATGAAAAAACTCTTTTATTGTAAAAGTTGGTGTTATAATCCCACTTCCCGCTGCAACAGGTTAAAAGTATAATAGCTTGTTTGGCCATGTTTCTACGAGCCGAAAAATATTTTTTTTAAAAGTTTGGCCAAATAATAATTATTTTTTAGAAGTATTTTTTCAAATTAATTAGTCAAACACAGAATATTTCTCAAAATCACTTATGTGTATAACTGTAAGTTAAATCCTAATGAGTTTGTGGGAAAATGTGACAGGAGGGTGGAGAAACCGGAGAAATGGAAGGATCAAGAAAGGAGGCGATGCTAAGGAGCAAAGGACTATGTCTTGTCCCAATAGAGCTAACTCTACATGTAGCTGATACTACTCTTAATGGTGCTGATTTTTGGTCACCTGCCGCCATGACGAACAATATCACTCGTCTCAATTCTAACCAATGAACAATCACATCCCTCTTTTTGCTCTCTCTCCTTTTTCTTGTTTTGGTGGCTTGATATGACAGTACTATATATATATATTTGCAGAAACCCATTTTTAGATACAAAAAAGACATGATAACAACTAGTACTACTGTAGTATAGTGAAAATGATAGTAGTAGGAAGGGCAGCTAGCAGGTTTTTCTAACGCTGAAAGGAAGTGTAAAAGGAGAGAGGGGCAGACAAATCTTGGTGGTTAATTGGAAACACAGCTGGAGCTGGGTGTTGGAAATTGTAGACCTTTTAGGGAAATGGAAAAGTGTAGTAGTATTACTCTTATATCAGATCGAACAAGGATTTTTTTGGCTTGTGTTTTCTCCATCTCTTTTTCCTTGAAAAGTGAGATTTTTTTATATCAACCAACTATAGCTATGTACATCTGCTGTGTTTAGTATAATAAACTTCTTACAGCAAGCTAATTGTATGTCCAGATAGGGTAAGTGTTTAGTGTATTTCTTTTTCTTTTTAGTTGATATAATTCGAACTTCTAATATTACAACTTAAAAGCGATAACAACTTCTCTTATAATATAAGGGTAATATAAATCATTGATATTGTAGTAGTTGCCCCGTTGTCGTTCTTCGAGTTAATAGAAATCATAGCTACGATTTGATAGGATTGAAAATTTGAAGCTTTCACTCTTAGCATGGGCACCACAAAAAGAGTCATTCAAAAATTACTATCAACATATATACTATCGTGTTTTAAGAAATAGGTCCCTTTTGTCACAACTTGTTCATTCGAGGTATTGACACAGAGGCGGATCCAATTAAACGATGATTTTAAGTATTATTAATATTTATTAATACAAATATCGATTCGAGCAAAGGAAATCGGTTTCACCCAAACCAGTAGTTGGGCTCCCCGGTTAGAAGCCATAAGACAACATTTGGAAACAAAATATTGGTCGAATTCTTTTTTTGAAAATTTAAAATAAAATTTGAAATGAATATGATATTTATATTTTAAGTTATGTGAAGAAATTGAGTTAATGAATTATTTTTTTAAAAATCAAAAGAAAAATCATACGTGGACATTGAACATTAAACTATGCAAATGTGGCCGTAAAAAGGGCCAGGAAGAAATGCATTGCCCTTCCATAAAGCAAGTAAAGCAACCGCTTTAGACCCCATATTTGTGTAAGCCCCATTTTTGTTACATCTAATAAACTATGTATACGTTTTTAAAAAAAGTTTCGTAAAGCAAAAAAGTTTGATTTCTTTCTTTAACAAATATAGAGAAGAAGAATTTGCAACTGCTATGATTTCTACCAAGAAAATTGCACTTGAAATGAATATTGAACCCGAATTTTATAAGAACGTGTGATATATAGGAAATAACAATTTGATACGAATGTTGAAAATTAAATCTCAAAATCTTTCGAAGAGTTCTTTAGAGTTGATTACTTTTATACATAATGGACAAGACTATTTTTTCACTTCAAAATAGATTTGAACAATTCAAAGCATATGAAAATATTTTTGATTTTCTATTCAGCAGTAAAAACTAAGATCACTAGATGTTGAAAATTTAAAAAAATATTGTCTTAATCTTGAATGTTCCTTAAAGCATAATAATCAATTCGATATTGATGGTTTAAATTTATTTTCTGAATTAAAAGTATTAACGAAAAGAATACAATTAAAATATAACAGTTTAATGGATACATTTTGTAATGGATGGATCTCTATAGACTAAGTTTCATTAATTGTAGTTTGACCCTCCATAGTTTTACTTTTACAGTTTAGCCTTAGTTAATAACCTATTTTCATTATTACCCATGATAGGCTTGCTTTATATTCTTTAAGCAGAGAATTATTGAGGCATGTGGAATGAAAAATCAGAATTTTTATCTTTTAATTTCTTTTCTCTTTTAAGTTTTCAATGGAGAATCTACCGTAGGATTCGCTACACATTTAATCAAATAAAAAGATTTAATTCTTTTTCAAATGCTTAAATTTCTTATGGAATAATGTTAATAACTCATGTTACCGTTGCTTCAACGTAAAAAAGTTTTCAAAATTAAAATTAATAAAATCTTACCTAAGAACAATAATGTCACAAGAAAGGTTAAATGGATTAGCTATATTGTTAGTTGAGAAATGCTTATTAGGAGTTATTGATTATAAGAAAATCATTAATAACTTTGTATCTAAGAAAAACTAAAAAAATAGACTTCAAATAAATAATAAAAAAAATTAAAAAGTTAAGACCCCTCATAAAGTTTGGCTTTAGACCACAAAATTCGTCGGGCCGCCCCTGTGTTCAACTCAAATCTTATCAATTTATCATAATTACGTGATTTTAATAATGTGATTAAAGAAAAAAAAAGATTAACAACATTTGGGTCGGGTGAAAATCATTTATAACAACCAATTTTACTTTAAAAATCAAATTTCCCCCTTTCCTTTAATAGTTTTCGCTCTCCCCCTTTATCCTAGACAGTATCTATTTTGCCCTTGTAATTTTTAATTTCCTCCTATATATAATACTCTTTTTTATTTTATATGTTATTTTTACGACTTTACCTATAATTTAAATTATGCTATACTTTATCAAAAATTGTAATTTAAATTTGTTAAAATTATAAATAGAATAGTCCTTTTATAAATTTGTGACAAAGTCTATATACTTTCATGATTTTATTTTAAGTATATATTTAGTTACATTTTCTCAGTGGTAAATAGATAATATTTTAGGAGTTTATTATAAAATCTATATTTATTTTATAAATTTATGTTACCTGCATTGAGTATATGTCTATAAGGTTCTAATTATTTTTTATTCTCGATTGTATAAATAGGTTTTTAAAATTTTATTTTTATTAATAAAATCATTGATAAGAGCAAATTATTTTATTTTAATTTTTATTCTACTCATCCTTTCATTATTCAACATTGCTAAATTATATGCTTGACTTTAGTTATAATATAGGTGTTTAACCAAAAAGTGGGATTTCGGTCAAAGCGATAATTTAAAAGAATTTGGGTTACTGATAATCAAAGAAAGTATAGAAGAAAGTAATTTTACTAGCAATGATATAATCAGAAGAAGACGAGTAAACCAGTATATTCAGATAGTTTTTCGTGTCCCTTACAATTGACCCATACTCCCCCTTTTATAGCTATTTTGGGATATGCGTTTTGCCTTTGTCATAATAAGGCAATTATGGACAATTAAAGACATTAAATGCTACGTTACATAATCATTGCATTTAATACAGATTTTCTAACGTTTTTAGTATTTAAGGCTCAATAAATACTGTATCTATACTCTCATGTAGTGTCAGATTCATTCCCCTTAATTCTTGGACTTAAATAAGCACGAGCGCTGAGTCTTTTTGCATAACCGCTCGTGCCTCTTCCTTTGTCTCTGCTCGTATTTGTTGCAACTCGTGCCTCTTTGTCAGTTGTAAATCTTTGACCAGTCTATGTGTCATGACACGTCATCTTTACACCACTTTAATATGTAAACTTACTTTTCCCCAATACAATAGGTAAGTTCATCTTATATTGAAAAGGTAAAAATAAAAAGGAGAAAGAGATAAATACCGATAATATAGAGGTTAAAATAAGCATTTTAAAAAGTCAATTGAGAAGTATGGGAGAGAATGAAAATTGTTCAAATTAGAGGTGGGAGTTTATTTTTTAAAGCAGAATTCGAGGATATAAATGACCTTGGATATTATGTTATATGACTAAACATAATTAGCCTTCAATTAACTAAAATATATGCTTTTGGTCCTTTAATGCATGATATATAATATATTTAGACTATTTTAGAACTATGTTACTTTCAAATATGAAGTAATATACAAATTTAACTTAACATATATGCTAATTAAATGATCTAATGCCTAATAATTCAATAAAGTTTTCAAGATTCACAAACAGAGAGATCAAAAGTATACATGTGAATTGATTGAAGGTTATAATGTGCAATATATTAGAATGACCAAAATAAGAATTTATCAATAATTGAGAAGCCAAAAGTGCTATTATTCCTGCCACTAAAACTTTTCAACGAGAATTATTGTATTTTAAAATAATGGGCAAAATTATAGAATTACTTTTGAAGTAATAATTTATCTATTTTTCTAAGGATATTATAACATCTCAACTTTATAAGATAATTTTGGTTTTAATATATAGTTTAGAGTAATTTACAAATAATATTTCAAGATAAAAATTAATTTATTAATAAAAAAAGATCACAAAGGCTCGAGAAATTTTATTTTGTGTGTCGCATAACTAAAGTAATATTGGCCAGAGGCTCACCCTCTCCGGTAAGGAAAAGGAAAATAAAAGACGCGTTTAGTTCCGCGAGTTCAAGAAATAATATATATATATATATCCCGCCTCATTTTGGAAACCCCCAACCAGATCAACGTCTCAATTTCTGCGCCACAACACTGAGCAATCGAAGACGAGAATGGAACCTTCACGCTCTGCGAATTCCGGGTCCAATTCGAAACGAACCTCAAATTCAATTACTTCAAACCCTCGGAGTAACAGCAGCAATCAGAGCAACAAGAAGAGGAAGACGAGTCAGAAGACCCTAGGCATGGCTTGGGGTGCCAATTCTCGCTCTGCTTCTCGTCCTGCCTTCAGTAGTTCACCTTTCTCCAATTTTGGAAGGTAAATATCTTTTTCTTACTCAGCTTTGTTTACACTAATCTTGCGAAATTTTAACGTTGTGCTAGGTCACAATCTTGTGAATATTATTTAGGATCTTTGTACACAGCCTTGAATATTTTAACAGTTTTAATGGGCAGAAGAGTGTTTTCCTTCGAGTTGACTTCGAATAAGGTGATCATTTATAAGACGGCCACTAGTAGAATGTGTTGATCACCAAGAAATATTATTTTTGTTACTTTACAAGCGTTAATTATTGGCCAAGTGCTCTATTTTTGTACAATTTTTACTTCATAAATGCACTCCTTCTTCTCGCTTTAGATTTGAATGTGTATAGTGCATGATATGTGAATTGTTGCTGGTGCGTTGCCCCTGCCGATTTGCTGATCTTATCATTGAACTTTGCTTAGTTACATGGCCGTGAAGAATCAGAAGCTTCATGAGCAGTTTGTTGCGGAGGCGTCCAGCACTTCTCACAGTGGTCCAAATTCTTCAAAACCTATATTTCATGGCGTTTCCATTTTTGTTGATGGATATACAGTTCCTTCCAGTCAGGTTTAGTGCTTTAAGGTTTCTTCCAAGTCATATTTTCGTGATGGGAATTAATGGAATATGATTGCTTGAAATTTTAAGAATTAAAAGATCATGAATTGCATGATGTTGAATATTGTTTCTTCAATAGAAAACCTTCTCAAACTTTTGAATTGTCAAAACAAATGATTACTTGTATTCTACTTTGCTGTGACTTTGAGAGTTTCTACTTGTGTAAGAAGAGTTATTCAATCTGCATGTAAACCCTTATATGAACATGCATCGTCAGTGCAATCAATACCTTGAGCGTAGACTTATCATATTCGTGTCCGTATTTCACTAGAATTTTTCATATAGAAGATTAGGGTTGTTTCTCATGCAGTTTATTGATTTCATCAACTTCTTCAGGAACTTCGAGGATATATGCTGAAGCATGGAGGCCGTTTTGAAAATTATTTTTCTAGGCGTCGCGTTACGCATATAATCTGTAGTAATCTTCCTGACAGTAAGGTCAAGAATTTGAGGTCAGTTGTAAAATCAAGTTCATCAGGTTGTCACTTTCTTATTTTTGTATCTCTGCTGAAATTGTAATTCTAAGATTTGTTTGAATTTGATACAGGTCATTTAGCAGGGGACTTCCAGTAGTCAAACCCACATGGGTGTTGGATTCTGTCGCTGCAAATAAGCTTCTGAATTGTAAGTTTATATTTCCATGACTTCCTTTTTAACGAAAACGAGCAAGTTGACCACTTGGTTATGCATTAGCTCTTTTTATGGGTGATCTTCCCTGATTCATTTTTTTTTTTGTGGGTGAAAGGATATTGTTTACAGAAGCTATTTGGAGAATCTGTGCTTATCCTTTCTCTTAGGACTCTTTTTATTTGTTGAATTGGCAAAGGGAGATAGAAAGAGGAGATCAAGAAACTGCTCTTTTTACGTGTCATTTTGTTATGTTTGTATTATATATCTGCATTGCAATAGTTTACAAGTTCAGGCCCTACCTCCATCTTGTGAAGAGTCAACTTGAAGGGAAACATGAAAATGCTAACATACTTGAATCTTAAGAAGACTACCTTGTTTCCTTAGGACAAAAAGTTTATTGCGAGGTGCATGCACCTTTATCAAGTTCTCTATGAGCCTTGGCTGCTGCATCAGTTTTGTTTCATCATTTTGTTGTAAGCTTTGCTGATTTTATTTTCTTATTCTTTATGTGACTCGCATAAGTACTTTCAATTTTCTCTCTAAGCATCAGTCCTCATTGTTGTCTTCAGGGGTTCCTTATCAGCTTGATCAGCTTGCAAGTGAAGTTAATAACCAGCCTAAGCTATCTGCTTTCTTTACGAAAAACATTTATGTTTCTGATGATATAGCAACATGTTCAACTGTCCAAGCCACATCTAGTGTTGAGAGTCCAATGTCATATGCTGGACCAATTGAAGATCCTATATCCTATGAAGAGTGGCAATCTGCAGAAGATTTGAAGCCTCATGATCTAGACTCTAATGATCTAATGCAAGAGAACTACAATGTAGCTAGAGTTGAAGAGTCAACTTGTAGCGTGGCAATGCAGGAACTGAGTGATGCTGCAAGTGAAGATGGAAGCCATGCTCCATTATCAGCACCTTCTAGTCCTCACAACTGTGCATCAGCTTGTAGCGACTGGACAAGTGATCCTGTTAACGAGGGGCCATCAGATTTAAAGATTCCTAGGTCTCCTAATCAGAAACATTCAACTCTAGTTGATGCTAATTTTGTGGAAAATTACTTTAGGGTACGTGCGTTGATATCTTGATATTGGCTTTGCTCTTGCTTGAAAATCTTGTATATATCCCCAAGAAACACAATTGCAATGAACAATCTCTACTCCCAAGTTCGTTGTCCTTTTCCTTTGGCATCCAGATTTGCTGGCGCCTTCTGATTCAGTGAGATTACCTGCTTTTGCTTGTGCATCTATTAATTTAAATTTGTTTATCTGCTGCAGCTATGCATGTCATAACTAATATATACGTAAATGTATGTATATATTGATAAATAACTGCATAGCAAAATATTAAAAGCACTTAGTGCTGAAGTGGTTGACATATTTGCCACGTGCTTAGCATTCTAGGTTGCATTTCATTGGCACCTGGAGAAACCGGTATCGCAAGCGATTTCCCAGCTCTCCTGGTGGATTTAGATGCTCAAGTTCAGGCCCTGGTTCTTCAGCCACAGCAAATAAGACGTTCATTATTCATGTGGATATGGTAATTTCTGCTTCGATGGTCTGCAAACCTAACTTGTTCTCTTTATGTTGTATTACTGCTTCTATGTTCTGGCTCCTCTCCCTTCTCACCCTCCTTGAACTGAAGGAATGCCAATGATATACTACTTCTCTTTGTATATTATTCTCTGTACTAAAACAACTAATTCAACTTTATTTGTTCAGGATTGCTTTTTTGTGTCTGTTGTCATTAGAAATCTCCCTGAGTTGAAGGATAAACCCGTTGCCATTTGCCATTCAGATAATCCACGTGGAACGGCAGAAATATCGTCAGCGAATTATCCTGCTAGGAGTCATGGTGAGTCTTTCAGTCAGTAATTCTACCTTTTAGTAAACAACATTCTGTGTTGGAAACTTGATTGTCATTCATAGTTTTGTCTCATAGGAGTAAAGGCTGGAATGTTTGTCAGAGATGCCAAGTCACGTTGCCCTCACCTAGTCATTCTTTCTTACGACTTTGAAGCTTATGAGGAGGTGGTCATGCTATTCAGTTTCTTCTTCTTGTTCTTTTCTCCCGTATTAATTAAATTCTTCCTGTATTTGGATTTGGGTCCTATAGAATCTGATTTGGCTTGCAGGTTGCTGATCACTTTTATAACATCTTGCACAAGTACTGCAACAAAGTGCAGGTATGGCCTCAGAACTCTTTTTTGAACAACTTTGCTATGTTTGTATCTCTTGATTGGCAATAGCTACTGAATGCAGGCTGTAAGTTGTGATGAAGCATTTTTAGATGCCACTGATTCTGGAGTAGAGGACATTCAAGCTTTTGTCTCAGTGATGAGAAAGGAGATTCTTGATGCGACGGGCTGTAGTGCTAGTGCTGGTGTTGCTGGGAATATGCTTATGGCACGTCTTGCTACTAGGACTGCAAAACCTGATGGGCAATGTTACATCCCTGCTGAGAAGGTATCTTCTGTTCTAGCTCTCTTTTTTATCTATGAAATGGGAAGGGCTATGTCTTGATTTCTGTCATCTTTTATACCTGTATTTTCTACTATATTACGAACTCTATTTTGTAGCTACATATTTATTGGTTACGTGTCATTGCTTTCTCTTTAACTATGTGCAGTTAATATCTTCTTACCCAATGCATTTATGAATTGCCACGTACTTCTAAAAAGGACATGCTGCTAGTCAATCAGATTTTATGGGCTCCACTGTTGAAAAGTGGATTTTTGCCAGGGCTTCGTCATCCTGTTGCTGCATGAGATGTTGGGCTCTTTTCGCATCTCTTTGTTTATGTCTTCATCCTGTTCAAGCATAACCTACAAAATCTGGATTTTAGATGGAAATCAACCCGAATCCTTGATTCTTTTAATTAAAATAGAAGTTAATCTTTTTATCAAGTTATCAAAAAAAGTAAAGGAAGAATCCTTGAATTCTTTTATCAAAGGATGTCACAAAGAATGCTTTTTTTTTTTTTTTTTTTTTTTTTTTTTTTTTTTTTTTATATAACATAACTTTGCCCATCACTGATACTATTCTATAGCAAACACATATTTCTCTTGGTTAGATCGTTGTTGATTAACTCCTGTTTTTCATTTCGTCTTATATTCTAGTGAGTAGTGTCTAATATATGTAGTGAAAAAAGAGGAAAACAAAGACTTGAAGATCATTTATGAGAAGTAAAATAATCATTGTGATATTTATCTTGTTGGCTATATCAGGTGGAGGAGCACCTGTGTGAACTTCCAGTAAAAGCACTTCCCGGAATTGGTCATGTGTTGGAAGAGAAGTTGAACAGGAGACAAATCACAACTTGCGGGCAGCTACGCATTATTTCCAAGGTTTGATCATTTAATATTTGTTTCTTCCTATAATAATTTGGTGACTACTCTCATGATGTAGACTTTCTATCTACTTATAGCTTGCGCAGAGCAAGTACTGTTTTGCGTCTCTTTTGATCTGGTTTCTCTCAGATACGTTCTATCTTATTGCACTTAAAGAAAAACTTTAAGAGGACTTAATGAATCGTTAACTTTCTTGCTACAAAGATAGATGATGAGTCTTCTTGTTCAGTTTATGTTTGTTATATTTGTTCTTGATAAACGGTATTTTATTAAAGATAGCACCAAGAAGGTACTGCGAAAGTACTAAAGGGTATGTTTGTTATATTTGTAAGAGTTTGTATGTAGAGCTCTGCCCAAGCGGGTGGCCTAGTGGTTGAAGCGCTGGAGTGACAACCTTGGGAACCAAGGTTTGATTTCCAGCTGAGATGACACTTGTTGAATTCTTACGATCTGCCTCTAAGCTATGGAAAAGGGGGGGGGGGATGAAGTAGATAGAGTTATTTGATACCGCCAATAGTAGTACCCGGTACCCGGTTGACTAGTCGAATGCGCACCATCTGCACAGATACTACCATTCCTTACAAAAGAGCAATGGTATGTTAAATCACTTGCTTATGTGCCTTCTCTGTCCATAATCCTCCATGACACTGTTTTCCAATTTTCTGAAAAAAGTTTCACGTTTAACGGGCAATCTCTACTATCTATCAAACAAAAGTGAGGCTTGTTATTCATGCTGCCTCCTTGAGTCAGAGTCCTCTTTGCCACTTGTCCCCCAGTTTCATGAGCACATTCCCGCCCATGTAAGGTCAAGAATCTTTGGAACCGTCATTAGCTACAGAGCTGATAAAATAGGAGATACATCGTTTAGTTCAGTGTTAAAAATAGCGTGAAGGGAGGAAAAGCGGCAACCCCCATTTCACGAAAAGCGAGAAGCGAAGCGCCCACTTTTTTTAAGTGAAGCGGAATTTTAAAAAAAAATTTAAAATAAATAATTCGGCAGAAACTGGACAGAATTTTTCTGAAAAAAATTTGCCAGCATTTCGGCGCTTTTTGGACGTTTAGAAAGAAAAAGAAAAAGAAAAAGAAAAAGAAAAAGAAAAAGAAAAAGAAAAAGAAAAAGAAAAAGAAGAAGAAGAATGAAAATAAATCTGGAAAACATTCCTGTTGAAATTAAGTTACTGTTGTACTGTTGAAGTCTTGAATAAGAAGAAGAACCCTAGTTTGCTTGAACAAATCTTGAAGTGAGGAAGAACTCGCTGGTTTGAAGAACCCTAGTTTGCTGCTAAAGAAGTCGAAGAAGTGCTAAAATAGAAACCACGATTTGGGTCTTTTAATTGAAAAAAGACTTTGGGTCTTTTAATTGAAAAATCGTCCGCTTCGATCGCTTCTGGGTGCTTCACCGCTTCTTGCTTTTTAGAGAGAAGCGGTCGCTTATGCATACCTGAGCCGCTTTTAACACTGGTAGCGATACCCCTCCCGCTCAGCTTCGCTTCTCGCTTAAATCGAGGAGGCGCCCGCTTTTTTTAACACTGGTTTAGTTAAGGCTGCGTTTATGCCTATTTGGCTTTTTCAGATCCTGGATTATTTCAGCTAGTGATGTTCTATTAAACTCATCGTTAAAAGTGTTTCAAATGTAAAATGAGAATATCTTGCCTTACTTCTTGTGAAAACTATGATCTAATCTACAACAACAACAACATACCCAATGTATTCCCACAAGTGGGGTCTGGAGAAAGTAGAGTGTATGCAGACCTTTGGGTCTGGAGAGAGTAGAGTGTACGCAGACCTTACCCCTGCCTTTAAAAGGCAGAGAGGCTGGTTCCGGAATACTATGATCTAATCAGTGCTGAAGAAATCCCCCATATTCATATGGAGGATGTTCTTTTGAGAAAAAAAAAAAGGTATGTGGAACACATTACAGCACTTGTTAGATCGCTGGTTGGTTATCTTCTCTTAGAATTGCTCAGGACTCGTTTTATAGATTTAAAAAATGGAACATTTTAAATGGTCAATACTTCCATAATTTGTTTTTTCTGTTATTCAGCTGGCCAACTGAGATGCTTTTCTCCTTTATATGATACTCATTGATACACTAAGCATTGGCACAAAAAATGCTGTATATAAATCATAATGAATGCCATTGTTTGGGTGACATGCATTATACTGAATAAGGGATGTTGCTCCCTTAGCACTTATGTGGAGCGAATGGAGAGAGATGAATAAGAGAGCTTTTGAGGGAGTAGAGAAAGATTCTGTACACTTACGAAATAGTCTCTTTTCCCTTATTTCATTTTGGTGCACCCATGAGGTCCCTATCTATATAGATGATTGGGTATTTTTCGTAGGAAACCATGTCTTTTTGTAAGGCTTTCTACCTTTTGGTATACTTATTGTATACGGGCACGTTTTTTGCCCTCTATTCATGAAACTTATTATTTTATTAAAAAAAATGTGCGTATGTTTATTTGTGTATGAAATCTTCCACTTATTTGTTGTGTTTCCAGGAAACTCTCCAGAAGGACTTTGGTTATAAAACTGGCAGTATGCTATGGAACTATAGTAGAGGGATAGATGATCGGTTGGTTGGCATGATACAGGTCAGGACCACACAGACTATCTTACTGTATAACCCTTTAGTTTGTATGCTTTTCTTTTCGGATTATGTCATAGTCACACAACTGATTCGCAAATTCCCATTAACTCCTTATTTTACCATTTCTTATTGTTTTGAATTGAATATTCGAGACTTGCTTAATGATTGATGAGTACTTTCTTTGCTTCCTGTGCTTGTTGTTGCTTCTACTTGCATTCTGGTGCCAATATAAGCAGAGTCATAAATGGTCTTTGGGTGTGTGTGTGTGCGCGCGCGCGTGTATGACATTTACAGAGCAAAATTTTGGTTCAGGTTTGAAAATAGTAAGTAGTACATAAAGACTTGCATAAGATTTCTGTAGATCTTAAAAGCTGTTCTACTACCTGTCTGAAGGAAGCAAAAGCTAGTTACATACTATGCGTCTTGCGTATCTGCATCATATATTTTGTCAATTTTGTTTTGAATCAGTCATGCGGCTTCAAGCCAAATATATTAAACCTCTCTAGAACCTTTTGCAGGAAAGCAAATCCATTGGTGCAGACGTTAACTGGGGCGTAAGGTTCAAGGAGCTGAAAGATGTTAGATCTCCAAAAACAATCATTGCTTGTTTACCCTTTATAGTAATGCTTATAGGAACTAAACGCCTTCTCAATTCAGGTGCAACATTTTCTTTTAAACCTTTGCAAGGAGGTTTCATTACGTTTGCAGGGGTGTGGAGTGAAAGGCCGCAAGTTTACCTTGAAGGTCTCTCTCTCTCTCTCTCTCTCTCTCTCTCTCTCTCTCTCTCTCTCTCTCTCTCTCTTTGCCTTATGAAGCTGATTATTTTTATTTAGATCATACAGAGCTCTTTTAGCTGAAACTAGTCAAGATTGCATTCTTACGGGGGGTTATGAATGTGTCGTATGGTTGGATGTTCATTCTATGTTTGCATCTAATTTATCAATACAGATAAAGAAAAGGAGGAGTGATGCGGGGGAGCCAGTAAAGTATTTGGGCTGTGGCGTTTGTGATAACTTGAGCCATTCTGTCACGGTATTAGTATTTCTGTGATAACCTTGTGATCTATGTTATCTAACTGGAGAAATTTTTATTTCCTTCCTGGTTTTAATTGCATTGTGGCTATTGTAGGTGCCAATGGCTACGGATAGTGTTGATGTGCTTGAGAGAGTCGTTTCACAGCTCTTCATGACTTCACACATAGGTAACTGCTTTGCTGAAGTCAACATTACACTTCAAAATAAGGGTTTAAGTTTGCACCCATGGCTGTGACCTAGTGGTCAGTGAACTGAGTGCAAACCCCTGGAGATCAGGGTTCAAATTCCAACGGAGACAAAAAACCACCAGTGATTTCTTCACATATGCCTATGAGGTGGTTTGCAAAGCTCGGTGCCTGTGTGGCAGGTGTAGCCAAGGTGTACCGCAAGCTGGCCTAGACACCACTATCAGAAAAAAGAAAAATAAGGGTTTAAGTTATATGCACCGATAACGTGAAAATTTTTATACTTTTGGGTTTCTCTTAGGTAATTTACTTTATTAAGCGTCGATTGGTAAATTGATAAAATAAGGTAAGTGACCTCCGACAACCTGTAAAACTACACTATAACACTGCTAGTGTTTATTACTTAAATAATTGAAATAAATGTATATGTTTCATCTGATGTCTATGTATGAGTTGCTTATACCCTTTTTTCTTAGAACAACATCGACGCGAAATTTTTTATTAAGGTTAATGAATGCAAGAGTAACCAATGCGGTATACCTCTCATTTGATTGTATTTACTTGGGAGAATGAATGTGAATCATGCTAGTTGAAACAATAATATAAGGTTACTGTGAAACATCTATAGCTAGTGCGGATCGGTGACTGTTAATTTGATATTATGGTGAGTAAACTGATTATAAAATGAAATGATATTGTACTTGTTTCCACTTTGGCAGTGCATGCAACTTAAGTCCTTGAAATAAATAAATAAGTTTCATTTAATATGTATGTATGAGTTTTTAATGCATTTTCTTAAAACAACATTGAAAGGAGAAATCAAATTATAGGGATTAATGGATGCAAGAATAATCATTACGTTAATTTGTTTGTAGTAATTTGAAATGAGAATGGATTTGAGTCATGGCAGTTGAAACAATATAAAAGAGGGTGCTCTTGCTTCAATGTATCCATGGTTAAAAAAAGGCCTTGATATTTCAAATGTAAACCAATTATGTTTAGTTAACTTCTTTCTCGGGTGAATGCCGGAATGGGAATAGATTATCTTATGAAATTTTAGTTGATCTCAGTGTCATTCAGTACAAATAGCGTGTTTAGCTATGTTCTCGGGACCAATTAACTTCGCATTCAAAGTTATGGGCTTTTGTTGTGAGTTTAGTCTGGTTTATCCTTCTTGTTGCTTCCTAGTTTTGGTTTTCCATCTTGATACATCTGTACCAGAATGATTATCGATTTGCTATGAGAGTCAAACAAATAATTTTTGACTGTAAGTCTTAAATAAGCTTTTTTTCCATATGAAATGCGAAAAGATAGAACTGTATGATGTTCATATAGGTTTTTTGTTCGATGTAAGAGAAAGAAAATTAATGATTTCTCTGTTTCAGAAATAAACCAAAGTGCTATGACTTGTAGGTTATCCTGTTTTCTGCTTCTAATATGACTGCTGTTTTAACTGTTGCTGTGCAGATGTGGAGGACATAAGAGGCATGGGATTGCAGGTCTCAAAGCTTGAAACTGTGGATAGTTCTAAGCAAGGTTTTTGTTCTGACAAGAATTGTCTTTCTAGTTACTTTCCCTTTCCTGTAAAAATGCTTGGGTTTTCTTTGTGTTTCATATATCTATCTCTAGGCCAGTTATGATGTTTCAACGATGAGAATGTGCCATTCATGAACTGGATTTTTACTACTTTCATTGACATACATCCAGGGAAAGAAAGATATTCCATCAGATCTTGGCTCACTGATGCCTCTGCTAAGACCAGCCATAAAAACAGAAGCAGTAGTCATGAGAAATGTGCTGATGCAGGTTTGACTTCCCTACTTGCTTTTTTTGCTTCTGTCCAAATATTTGTTGCCTCTGATCATGCCTATTGTATGATTGAAGTATTGTTAACACACTTAAACTGGTACTGAAATTCCATGGTTGTTGCATTGGCAGTGCTCTAGCTCATAAAAGGTTTTTATAGGAATCTCTTTAATTTGTGTGTCCTAGAAATACTTGAGGACATCATAATTTGTCTTAGATTGTTTTGCTCCTTTCTCTGGCCACACAAGAGAAACTTAATAGGATTTTTATCGCTGCGGCGCTGATGGAAGTGAAATCTCTTATTTAATGCTTCTGTTAAAAGGTTCAGTATGATAGTTTTATATTGCTTCATTTCAACTTATTCCAACATCTGTTTCTGTGTTTTCAACAAATTACTAACTAAAAAGTAGGCAAAATACATAACTTACTCCTTGAACTATAGACCAAATCTCTGTTACACACTTTTTGCAGATAAAAATCACCTTACACACTCAACCTTTCCAGAGTGTGCCTAAGACATACCACTTTTTCCTTAACCAATTTTTCAAAACATGTATAATGTCACGCACCAGTCAAACTGTGACATACGTCATTGACTTAAAAAAAGAAAAAAAAGGCAAAACAAACCCCAACCAAGTAAAAAAAACAAAAATGAAAAGGAGCCCATCTCCTTTGTCGTTGCCTTCACCAGAGCTTTTCAGCTCTACCTTCATCCATCGTCCCCTATCATCCTTCATCCATTAACATACACTATCCAAGAAAAAAAAACATGGATAGACCAAAAACATCTGACCCAGTTTTCACCGTCCCATTACCACTACTCACCCTCCACAACCTTATCACCACTAGTAAACTACCACCGCCTTTCAACCTTTCTGCTATATAAACCAGCGCCGTCCTCTGCCGTCGAGCTCCACACAGCATAACAGCAGAGGCCTTCATTTTCACTATCTCAATTTCTCATTCCATCAAAAACACAACCACAATTCTCCTCGGCCAGACACCTTCTCGGTGATATAACAACAAATATCTAAAAAATATAGATCCACTTCCATGACAGTTGAACAAATTAGTTTAAATAGTTTTCTTTAACTATATTTTTATTTTATTTTTATTTTTCTCCAGTTCAAATTCATTTTTTTTTAACAATTTCACTTCAAAACTCTAAATTGGGGAAAAAACAGAGGGAAAAGGGTTCTGGGGAAGGAAACCAGAGGAAGGGGTTCCTGTGAGAAGACGAGTGGGGGAAGGGGTCCCAGCGGGGGACGAGGGTTGTGGAGTAATTAAAGAAAGGGGACACAATAATTTAAATTAAAAGTATAAATTATAAAGCATCAAATATATATTTTTGTCTCTTCACATGCCTCATTTTGTTGGTAAAACACGCGCTGGTCACGCAGACAAAGTGGTGTATCTTGGTTACACTTTAGAAAAGGTTGATGTAAGGTGATTTTCTTCCGCAAAAAGTGTGTAACAGGGATTTGATCCTTAGTTTAGGGGTTAATTTACGTATTTTGCCTAAAAAGTATGACCAAACATGTATTGAATTCATGCTCCACTAATGACATGCTGGACTAATCTTTGAATTCTACTTCTCTGATACTGCAGATAAAGGTAAAAGCGGTGTTGATGAACGTCAGGCTCAGTTGCAGGGTGATTCAAGTACACCTTTTGTTGAAATGTCTGCAGCGTCACCCTCTGGTACTGCTGGTTCTGGACAGAGGGGAAATCTTCCTCCTATGAACGAGCTTGATATGGGAGTTATAGAATCTCTTCCTTCTGAAGTCTTTTCAGAAATTAATGACATGTATGATGGAAAATTGGCTCATCTTATTACTGAAAAGAGGAGCAAAGGTAAAGATCCATTCCCTAAAATTACAGAAGTTTGTTTACCCAATTAGCTCATGTCTATATCATGTTGTTGTTATAAGCTTTTGCCTTAACTCTCATATCTTTTAAATTTGGTGTATCAGAAAAAGAAAACATATCTTTTGCTTGCCCTGCTGCATCAGACGAAGCTTTTGCTGCAAGTGAGGTATCTTCTCCATTTTTTCTTTTCTTGGGCTGGCTTAGTATTTACTAGTTTAATTTCAGTGATGATTATCTTGTTTCTACAACTTAATAGTGTTGATTTCTGGTGGCTATTACAGGAGCAGCAGTATAATGAAGAGGAAATCCAAGTGGTGGTCTCTTATCCTAATAAACTTTTTGTTGATATGAAAAGTGAGCCAGTTTCTGATGCTAGTGTACCAAATCTGGACTTGATTAGTAATGCTCCCGTCTCAGGAGACATCAGTCTAATGCCCTCTTCTCTAAGTCAAGTAGACACCTTGATCTTTCAAGAATTGCCCGAGGACTTGAGGACAGATATTCTCGAACTCCTTCCTGCACACAGGAACACTGAATCATCACTAGATGCTTCCTTGGCATGTGCTAATAATCAGAGCAGTACAGGTCCTTCTATTTCAAGCATTGACCTGTGGGTTGGAGATCCACCAGAATGGATTGACATATTCAAAGCCAGCAACTGTCAGATTTTGCGCATTTTGGCAGAGATGTATCAAAGAGCAGGGGCAAAAAAACAGTTATCTTCTGTATTGCAGAGGACTATGTCTCAGATTTATATTCTCTGGGATGTGGGCACTGATGGATGGGCTGAGGCTGTTAGTTGCTTATGCGAGCTTATCAAGCAGTATTTAAAATTAAAAATTTCAACTGATATTGAAGAGGTTTACATTTGTTCTTGCCTTTTAAGAAGGTATGTACCAGAGACTACTGACGCATACATCCGACTTATCTGCAGTATATATGTTCATTTTCTTCAGCACATTTCTTTTGGCACTTGCTTCTGTATTTCTTTTCCTCGGTGTTATCTTGAATTTCTTTCTTGCTGCTATTGTAAAACATGCAGAATCCAAGGTGATGCGAAAGTTAGACAGCCACGTAATGTAGCTTTTCAAGTAAAATTTTGAAGGACAGAGAATGGCAGACTTGTGGTCTTGCCCTTTCACAATAAAAAAGAAATATATTGCTGTTATTTTTGGAAAGGTTAAGTACAAATACTGGAGGAAGGGCTGTACTGCTCCAGAGAAACTTAGGATAGAGTACTGGGTCTTCGGAGATTCATATAGGCTTCTCTTCTCATTAACCTTTCACTTGGCGACATTCCCCACAATAGCTGGTGACGAAGTTCTTAGATAATAACTGAAGGGGCTCTTGGCAGCTGTCTTTTCTACTTCTTTCTTCTTCGTCTTTTTTTTGGGTGCTTTAGGTAAATACATTGTCTAGCACAATGATGACATAAGCCTTCATACGCCTCATAAGATGATCTTTGTTGTTTGGATCAGTGGTAGTGGAGCCAGAAATTTGTATAAGGGGATTTAAAAAATACTAGAATGTGACTGTTGATTTTTGAATTTGAGACCTAAAGCAACTTTTGGACCCCCTTTATTGCTTTTTTTTTTTTTGATAACCCCATGGTGTTCGGGCCAACTTGCGGGCACCTCGACTAATTCCACTGGATACCTGCTACCTCCCACCAGCAACATGTATCAGGTAACTCTATCCACCAAGGCTTGGATAGATGGGAAGAAATCACCTAGTGTTTTTTGTCTCTGGGAATTGAACCTGAGTCCTCATGATTCTAACCCACTTCATTGACCACTAGGCCACACCCTTGGGTACCCCTTTATGCTTATATATAACCAAAAAAATTCATTTTTACCCTATTTACACAGTATAATTTTTCGATGACGAGGATTCAATTGAACCCCCTCCCCTCCGCCTAATTCCGCCACTACTTTGGGTATTTTGGAATTTCTTTTACATTGTTTTGATAATATTTACCTTTTTACTGCAAGTAGCAGCACAAGTAGACATGGTTGGAAATTGCAACGGGGCTAATACATTTTTTATTTTTATTATGAATGAAGGGCCGGTCTAACGTTATTGAAATTGTGACATCAGGTTGACTGCAAGGTCAAAAATTTTCGTAGAAGTTTACAACAACATGCTTCCTCATTTTCAGGTAACATAAGTAGTTCCACTTTGTTTTTCTTGTTGAGATAGGTGTATCCATCATTATTGTGTTATAAAGAAAAATATGATTAGGATAATCTTCTTCTCAATCTTATCTTTTTGACTCTCGGTGGAAATCATGAAATTTAGCTATACATGCAGGAACGGATAAATGTTTTCAGGGTGTCGTTCTTGGAAGATTTCGTTACATGATACTTATTTCGGTCTTGTTATGGTTTCTGCTTATGTGTTGCAGTCTGCTATGATATCAAATTGTAAACTATTTTTCCTTGTTTATGACATGCACCAAAAGAATGATATAGACTTGTATGCATTTTTGAAAGAATTTCTACTAGATATTGATTTGACCATATTTCCTTAAAAACTGGGCTGTCTTTCTGTTCTCATTTGCACATTAATTGATCTGGTTTCTTCTAGATTTCTTGCTATCGCTCTAAGGTTAGTTTTACTCCTTAATAGGCGTAAGATTCTACTATGTGGAGAACACTTTCAATGTGTCGTTGAGGGTCTGTGGAGCATGAGTTTAATGAATAACTAAGTGCTGTCTTTTGGTTCTCATGCAAACAATTCCAGAACATGTTTTCTTTTCTGTACAAAATAATTATATACGAGGGTGATGGTATTTCGTAAGCATATTGTGTGCAATGGCAATCTTACAGTAATCACCATACAATAATAATGATACCTCATTTACGAATATTAGAAAATGTTATTAAGGTCTACCCATCTAGGTTATTATATGGGTCGAAATTTCCCCAACATATCTGGTTACGTGTTGCCACGCCTATCAAAAACTCCATCAAGTCTGTAAAAGGGAGTACCCTATTAGTTGGTACGCAGACAGATTTTGCATGGAAAATTGTTCCCATCTATCTTTCAGTTAACAAGCGGTGTCACAGGTGTTTATGTTCTTCTTAAGCCTGTAATGGTCTCACTATACGTTAAGTTGTGTCTTCTTTTTCCCATTGTAATATAAGGGCGTCAACTTAGGTTATTTAAATGCTGCATTGATATTGATTTTGGGCTGTTCTGGTTGAAGTTGTTCTTTGCAGCAAAATAGCTTCTTTTGTTCCTCCTTCTAAACTAGTAAGTACAGGGCTGCAGGCTTTTAGTTGCAAACCAGTTAAACATAAATGATACTGAACACTATCAGTAGAATCTCTGTTTTGGTATTGGTTTCAGAAGACTTGCTTAAAAAGGTTAAAATATAAAGTGAGGGAATCTTTCTGATCTAAGTTTATTGTTGTAAAATCTGGAAGAATGAAAGTGTGGAATGGCAATACAATAAAATGAGAGTGACATCCTAAAAAATCTTTGGATTTGAAACCATTGGTTTAGATGCAACACATTCTTTTTCACTAGTAAATTCAAGTTTAGAATCTGTTTTTACAGTGAATCTGTGAGCTAGCCTGATAAAGTTTTTGAAACCATCGGTTTAGATGCATCGCATTCTTTTTCACTTAGATTCTGTTTTAACTCTTTTAGCAGTGAAATTGTGAGCTAGCCTGATCAAGTTATTATCTCAATTTATAGGCATCGGTTAGTGAGAACTATGGTGGCAGCTTTTGTATAGCCTCTGTGATGGAGTGATGCGTGGCATGCCTTCTTTGCCAAGTAAAAGTCTCAGGTGCTCTACGTTTACAAGTCCACTTTCTGTTCTCACTTGCTCCGCTTGTAAAGTGGATGTAGTTGCAAAGGACCTCTGGTATAAGAAGTCACGCGTGGTCTAACAGAGGATCATGCAATTTTTTGTTAGTATCACATGAAGTTAGAAGAGGCCCGTTATCTTTGACGTCCTGTCTTCCAAGATAGTGGCTTCGGTCATGCAGGTGAGCACTTATTCATTCTACACTAGCAATCTTGCTTTTGAATTTCCTGAAATATGATTAGTTTCTTCATGAGCATTTACTGAAAATGTGAATACACTATATTAGCAATCTGGCTTTTGACTTCCCTGGCAATTCACTTATTGAATATGTATGTTCTCCTTTTTCTTGATTTCTCTTCTTCCCCTCCTCATATGGCTCGAAAGGACCTAGATCTGTCATTACCTCTATGATTCTTCCTGTTAAGATTTCTGAAGCTCTGAAGTATGTCATTTTTTGTCGAGGGTTTTGTAACCTTCTGTGGTCATTGTAATGCAAGATCTGATAGAGATGGTTATTTTTGTAATCCACATCCCATTTGTTATAGTCTGTATCTTCATTTCATTTTCATATGTTACTTCAAGTAGTTACATCTTTCACCAATTCCTTTTTTATGCTTCAAAACAGAGAGTTGAAGTCCTAATCATACAGAGTGGGGGCAATTGGGTCTGAATAGACCTGCCAAATGGGTCAGGTTGACCCACGAACCGGCCCACATAACCTATTAAAATTGACCCTTTAACCGGCCCATGACCCACAAAACCCTAACCGGACCAACCATTAACTTAAGGGGCCTGGGCCGGGCTATAATATTTTGACCCATTGAACCGGACCGGACATGAACTGGTAGCTGACCCACGGGTCAACCGGCGCGGACCAGCTCACATATATATTCAGACAAGTGGTAAAAAATTGAATTCAAACATTGAAGAAAGAATATAGTAACACACACTATGAGGCGTCTTGTCGAAATAGGCGAATTTCATATATTTTTAAACTATTAGTTATAAAATATTCGAATTCCATATCTTTCTCAAGTTTTAATGTTAATAAAGTATGGTTTTTCTTTCATTTTTATTCTAATTGGCTTCAAGGAAATATAGTAATTTCAAGTTCGTATATATGTATAAAGTTTGAAATTTTTATCATTTATTAGTTTTTAACTTTTTTAATTAAATTAGATTCGGCCCATTAGGGTCCGGGTTAAAGGGTTATGGGTCCGGGTCGGGTTAACATGTTTTGATTAGCGGGTCAAATCCGGACCGGCCCCTATAAGAAAGTAAACCGGATTGGACCAGTTAAGGACCCACGGGCCAAGAGCCAATGGGTTCGGGTCCGGGTCGGGTCGACCCATTTAACAGGTCTAGGTCTGAAAGGCGTCTCCCCAGGTTAAGCTGACAGAGCTGGAGATCATGGTAGGTACCTGTGTGTTTTGAGTGTGTTGCTTCCAATTCTTGTAGGTATACATCCCAATTCTTGTTGGTATACATTTGTCTTTCCTCTTTGCTTGAAGTCAAGTGGGGCTTCTTTGGATGGATGACATAAGGTGGTATGAAATGCTTGAATCTGTATGCATTTTGTCACATGCTTACTTTCTGGAGTCCTGTATGGAGGTTCAATAACATCCTTGATATTTATAATTTGTCTGACTGAATAGTGGAACATGCATGTTATTTTTCACTTTCCCATGGTTGACGCGGAGCTTTTGAAAGTTGTCTTTTCCTAGAGGGAATTCAGTAAATGGGAAGTTATAACAACAATTAAATAAATAAATAAAAATCTCCTTCCGCTAGAAGCTTAAGCTTTTATATGTTGTGCTCACACAATTCAACATGGTATCCAAATAGGCAGAAGCTTTGGATTTAAGTCTCATTATCTCCTGTTAACAGACTAGTATTTAACGTGCTTGCCCAAGAAAAGGAATGAGGGAGTAGGTACAGAATCAATTAAATTAGTATGATATCCTCTCTGTAAAACCACACAAAGGATACCAGAGCATTGCTTGGGACTGCACAAATATTTCTCTTATTTCTCCGTTACATCATGTCCACGGCTGACTATATATATGTATATACACGCACACACATAATTGATGTTGCAACCTAGGGATAGATACTAAAGTGGTGTAGTTCCATAAGAATACAAACATAAGAATACTCCTAATCTATCCCTTCTCCTTCGTCTTCACAGATGATTGTGGCGGATAAGGATTTGGTTCAATACTCTCTCTAATGATTTAAATTTTCAGATGAGATGGTCATGCCTCATTGCACTATGAATGCTGATTTGAGTGAAGAGCAGTTTCATCGGTTGTGGAGTGTGCAGATGCAGTTTTGATGCAGACAGGTACTTGGTGCTGGTTATGGTTGACCATGCACAAAGTGCGTATAAAGATCGATTCGGAGACCATTTGGCTACTTGTACAGTAATGCTATGTTTCTGATATGACTACTTATCTTTGATCGTGAATAATAATTTTTTATTATTCTCCTGCAGATTTGCAGGCAAAAATAATGTGATTTGTTTAGGTACCCAGAAGTTTTTATGTGATACTTGAGGTAGATTAGCTACTTCCTTCTAGGTATCGTGCACCTTCGAAATGCTCTTATTTAAAGCTGCTATACCTGAATATTGCCTGCTGTAGTTGTCCTACACTTTCTATTTCATTCTGATGCAATCAGATGATTATTCTAGCAAGTCTGACCGCTGTCCTTTTTCTCTTAGCTGGTTGCTTATACGTGCACCTGACTGATAGTGAAGGATCTGATTTTTTTTTTTTTTAGATAGGGGGAGTAAAAACCCTCTATTCATTCGCTGTAACTGCTACTGGAGACCGTATCTCTGTTACTTTGTAAAGCAATAAAGTGAGTTGATGAGGTGAAAAACTGTTTTCTTTAAATATTAGCTTTGTGAACTAATATCTGGAAGTATGATGGCGTTCTTGCTAAACAATAAAAAATCAAGTTCAGCAGCAACTGGGGATGGTTCTTTTGTGCGACACTACTTTTACACAAAGGTTGGTTTCTGTAGGTTTGCTGAGCTTAGGGGTAAACCATTTGTTACAATCACAAAACTTGAAAATGCAAATTGGATCTTTCAAAGGTATAATAAATGAACGATAAACTTCAAGATTAGTTGGAAAATCATTCAGGAAAGGGAAGAATGAGAGAATTTTCGGCACTATCCTGACATATTAAGTACTACTATTAAGTATGAAACGTTTAATTTTTCTCTTTTTCGTTAAGTGGAAAAAGCGTCTTCAATTTCTCGAACAAGTACTTATTTTAAGGGCCATTGAAGTTATTAATTGTACTAGGTGAACATGTAATGTTTCAATCTCCACCTTGCCCAAAACTAAAGCCGAGATGATTTGCTCCAAACCAGTCTTGCGCATGCGATTGGCATTTTTCAAACAGCGTGCAATATATGTAGGACTGTTGACCTAGTTAAAAGTTGAAATCGCACAATTGGTGTTCGAAAACTTTGATTTGAAACACACTGCACGGCGACCCAACATATATTAGTAAAATGCTTGCAAATCTCGCTTCCATGGATTTGTTAGTCGTATTGGTTGAATTTTAAATTTGTCTTAACACGTCGTCAAAGTTCACATATCTGACTTAAGATCACCGGCTTCTGTAGTGGCTGGTGAAAAAAAGTGTACAACTTATTGAGAATTGGACTTTGTAAAAGGCAAGAATGTCGTGACAAGGACCTTTTTTTAATAGGAATCCATGTTACAAAAGAAAAGAGAGGGAAAAGTGAGAAAACCAATTCTTGCGTGGCACTGGAAAGTATGAGTTGTGCGTTTGAAAAGTAGGTAGGAATTAGGATGGGAAGAAAAGGAAGCACGGCTCGACCAATGTGTTCCTGGGATTAGGTCATGAAAGTCTTTATAGGTTGTTGATCATTCTTCGGTCTTAAAAAGCTAATGTGAAAGACCCACTCGAAAAAGCTAAATCTTGTAGCTGAGCTAACGGCAAATCCTTTTCAAAAGAATTTGATTAATCATATGTCGTAAGGTCATAATCTATTTGATTTGCATAAATACCAACGACAACAACAACAACCTAGTAGAATCTCATTAGTGGGGTTTGTTGAGAGTAGAATGTACGCATACCTTACTCTTACCCCGAAGGGATAGAGATGCTGTTTTCGGGAGACCGTCGGCTCAGAGACAATAGATCTGTAACCACAACAGAAACTAGAAATACCGAGTGTGAATAAATTTGTAACATCGTTCCATAGTATATCCTACTTCTATATTACAGTATAAATTTTGTGATCTATAATCTTCTTTTTATTTTTTAAATAACTAAAGTTTATTTCAGAAAAATTGGTCATAAAAAATAATTAATTACTATTTTGACCTTGGTACACCGCATTATATCATTCTTTTGGGATTCGTGGAGGAATATTATTTTAATGTCCCATTGTTTGACATGCCCCCATTCAAATCCTAGTATCGTTTATCGTTTTCAAACCAAGAATTCAAACTTATGAAAAAAGATCTTCTCCGCCTTGGCATAAGTCAATGTACTACGACAACCAAAAGTCAAAGAAACATACCTTTCTTGCACTTCTACGTAACCAATCCCCCGCTACTTTGTCACCTTTATATACTGACGAACCCTTTCTTTCTGAAACGAAAACAACCAGAAAAATTAGAATTTAGGGAGGTACTTCCCTTCTATTTTACTACAGCAGTTTTAGATTTGCACGTCGCTATCTTGCAAGTGCTCGTCTTAGACCCCAAAACCGCACAAGAAATTAATATATAACACGTAAAATGAAGTGTTCCAACTCTTTTCTAAAAGCCTTCTCAATGATCCTCATTTTTGTGTGGCTTTCAAATTCCATGCAGGTGGAAGGGTCAAGAAACCTTAAGGAATTACAATATTCTTTCTCATTACTGATAGAGAGAGCATATTCTGGGCCAAGTCATCGTGGACGAGGTCACTAGCTTCAAGTTTCTTTCCTCTTTTATTCCAAATATCCAAAACTTTTGGATCGGAGAACATATATACCATGTAGTTGCCTGAAATCCCAAGAGAGAGATAGAGGCACATATATATATATTCATTTCCTTGACTCAAATTTTTGGCTGTTGCTGTTTGATTAATTTTTTCTTGTTGTTTCATTCTGCGATCTTATAAATTTATACAGTTGGTGGGTTCAATGTAAAACATAGATATTCTAATACTATAATCTAACAGAAGTTACTTTTTCGTTTCCAACTTGTTATTCTCGGCCTCTGTTACTAATTAAAGAGTTTCAGTTTAAATCTGAGAACTAAATGTAGGCTGTGGCATGAAAAGAAATGCATCAGCATGAGGTACTCATTGTACTCATGCATTCGCAGCAAATGAGTACCTCATTTGGTATTATATATATATATATATATATATATATGACATTTTAACTTAGTTGGGCATCATAAAACTAAAGAAGGAAAAGTCCCAAGTCAAGGCATGCATATTAAGTGTAGGTAACCTTGTCAATATTTTGAAATCACTTTTCTCACAAAGTTTAACACTTGAGGATATGCTTTCCGATATTTGATTACATTACGCCAATAGCCATTCTCTGGGCTTAATTTAGGATTAGCCAGTACATATTTTGTCCTAAGAATTTAAACTAAAATTCTTAATTTCAGGACTTTGTGTCCTGAAAATTTAAACCGAAAACTGAAATTTAGGATACATTGGCTAATTCCTAAATAGCATCTCTCTAATGGGTATCTTGTGTTTTTATAGAGTCCAATAAAAGTGAACAATGAATTTGGCCGACCATTTGTATTAAGATCCCTAATATATTCCTAAGCAAAAAAAAACTATTAAAAAGTAAATTTTGAGCTTTAATTGACATAGTAACTGAAAATTAACAGCACTTACCTTCGAAGAGTTTCTTTTTTCTTCTAAAAAAAAAAAAAGAAGAAGCTGAAGACGAACTGTTTGTCAATTTAAAGTCTTGATTGAATGGTGGACCATTAACCAACTTGTTAAATTAGCCCTACTCTATATGTTATGGACCAAACATAAATGAAAGGAAGACAAGTAATTTTGAGGGACCAGCCAAATCACCTAAGAATAGCCCAACATTAAAGTATGTATGGAACATAGATAAGACAATTCACATTTTGACCTTTCTCCTTCTCCTTATATTAGAGTTGAATTCCAACATTAGTGGATTTAGTCCATGTTATAAAATTTTGTTAAGTCGTTAAAAGCCACAACTAGGTGAGTTCAAGCAAATTAATGCACCTGCAAGTGGCTTTCTTCCATTGGTTTGTCCTCAAATTGATGTCACATTAATAGCATGTTCCGCCAAGCTTCTAAAATCAACTTATTTATAAAAGTGTTTTTGAAAAAAATAATTTTGGTGAGAAGCAATTTATATTTGGCTAATTAATTTAAAAAATATTTTTGGATTTAGCAAGAGAATCCAATTCAATTATTTTTTAAACTTATCATATGAATAAAATTTTTATTCAAGTTAAAACAAATCTTAGAATATATAAATTTATTCTATAAAAATTAGTGTTAGAACGCAAAGTAAAAAGGTTAGTATATTATTAAAAATCAAAATGCTATACAAGTGTATGAGGAAGCACAATCAAAGCTAAATCGTAATCAAGAACAAACTTTCAAGATTATATTATAAAGAGTCGACTCTGGTATAACGTGATTATGCTTTGTAGATGCCTCCGGCGGAATCGAAATGATATTTCTATGTCATACATTACTTGCAAATATCATATCAAAATGTATGACACTGTTAGCAATAATAGCAAGTGGTGTACCAACAACGATTTTATTGCGAGGCCACCTACTTTAGATTTGATATACCTCTTCAAATAATTTAAACAACCATCACAGATATATCAAAGCGGAGCAATGATGCTAAATTTATAAGGAAAGTAAAATTGATAATATGGGATGGAACATTTATGGTAAAGTGTCAAACGATCGAAATAATTGCTCGGAGTTCTTATTAATGAACCGTTTGGTGGAAATCTAATGGCTGGGAGGTGATTTTGTCAAGTTCTACTAGTAGTTCCAAAATTGATAAGAGCAGATACTGTAAAAGCTAGCTTGCCAAAACTATACTTCTGGCCTCAAATGAAAAAGATTCAACTGACAAGAAATATAAAATAAGAATAAATCCAGTATTCAGTGTTTTCTTGCTTCGTGTCGGAAAAGAATAAGAGCGTCAAATAAAAAAAGATCTGGTTTTTCCTGAACATTTGGTTATCAATCCCAATGGTAATAGTAGTGCATTTAATAAAAGAAATATTTCCATTATTAGATTAAAACACAATTTGTGCAAATCGCATGATAGAATTAAAAAAATATCTTAGCTAGCAGAAATAAATATGTTGATCAACTAAATAAAAGGTTGATTGCAAAATTTATAATAAAAATAAAATGTTTTTCAGTTTTTGACTCAGCAGAAAATGACACCAATAATTACTACCAAGAAGAATACTTAAATATTTTAATACCAAATGGCCTTCTACCATACATGATTGTTGTCAAGTTTATTATTTCTTACGTATGTTAGTATCACCGTATATATAATCGCACTAAGTTAAAATTGATCTTCCATTGTATATAGGTTAATTTTGAAAAAAAAATATGTCCGTCATGCTACTGTAAAACTTAGATACGCCGAATAGCTTATATAATAGCACACGAATGGTATATAGAAGTTTTGACAATAACGTCATACATGCAAAAATTATGATACTGGTAAATATAATTGTAAGTATATTCTTATTCCTGAATTCAACTTTCGTCTTCCAAAACTAAGTAATATCCTTTTAAATTTGCGTGAAAATAATTTTTAGTATGTTTATGTTTTGCAAATATAAAAAATAAAGCAC